GAATATAGCTGCAGCTCTTTTGGAACTACATTCAGATCATTATCAATATGGCCCTCATCTGTTCCTCTTCAGCTTATGAGAGTTGGAAAGGCAATCCTAAAATCTATACAGAAATATTAAGAGCAGCCTTTTACTGATTATTTATACAATACACTTTATAAATTGGTATAATCTTATTGAATTCTTACAACAACCCTAAAAAGTAGGTAAATTTATCATTTTTATTTTATAGATGAGGAATCTTAAGCACACAAATGGTCACATAGTGAGTGTAGGACTGGGGTTTAAGGCCAGGTCATCTTATTCTAGAAGTTGCATGTTATACCCTATCCCATACTGCCTCTATTATGTGTGGACATAGGACCTTCATGGAACTCCTTCCAAATTAGTCATTCAAAATAAACACTCTTCAAGAGAGGAGTGAGTGGAGGGAGGGGCAAACAGAGGCCAGGAGTGTTACCCTGGTGTGCTCCTTGTGGAAATGTTTCCTACCACAAAAGAATATTGCTAGCCTAAAAGGTCCTTTGTGAAAGCCAAAAAAGGTAATCATTTTCTCCAGGAAGATTTTAATTGAAAAGCTTTCTGCAATAAAATTTTGAATTAAATAACACACAAATTTATGATAACTGATGTTGGTGACACATTTTGGAGCTGTGCAATGCATAACTGGTACAACCATATGTGGCAACTCTGCCTTCTAACATCCTGTTATGGATGTTATGGGATGAATTGTGTCCCTCCCCCTCCAAATTCATGGCTTCATTGGAGTACTTTGCTTAAAGGATTTATTTTCATTTGATGACATGTAAAGGTCTGGACCATTTTCTATCATTAGAAGTCCTATGACTTTTCTCAGTGTACCAGATTCAATATGTCAGCCAAATTCTAATAATTATATATTTCCTTTGTAGAATTCGCAAAGAGTGTGGATTTGGAAGATAATTCTTTTCTTTCCCCTGTTAGCCATTATGGCTATTTATTGAAACCACCAATATGTAATGTAGCTGGACAAACTTGGGAGGGGAACGAGAGGTGTGCCCACACAGACACCACGTGCCCTCAAATTGAGTATGACACAGAACCTGGAACTTTAACTTCCCCAAGCCTAGAAGCTTAGGAGTAAAACTGAAGGCGTCAATAACCACTTATTAACAGTCAGTCAAGTGTAAACTGGCTAAAATAAGGTGCTGGTGTACAAATGGAACAGACTCAATTTAAAGCCAGGCTCAGCTAGCCTTCATCCTTGGGCACCTTCTGGGAAAATTGGCCTTGTTACCTTGAAGTCTAGCCTCTTCTGGGCTTGGTCACCTCCTACCTGATGGTTTCTTTTGCTGTGCAGCAGCTTTTTAGTTTGGTATGGTCCCAACCCACTTCTGCAGCCATTCCCTTGCTGTGCGAGGTTCAGACATGGGGCCCTCAGCATACCTGACAGGGCCTCTGCATTGCTGGAAAGTACTTGAGACCCCAGGCCGATCTCTAGCCCTGCCCTCTACAACTACAAAGTCCATCCTTTTAAAGTATGGAATTGAATGGTTTTAGTTTGTTCACAAGTCCATCACTTGGGTGTGTTTATACTGTCAAGGCCTTCTCCCAGAGATTCTGACACTGTGGGCCCAGGAGTCTAGGGGTGCTTGTCTTTTTGTGGATCCTCCAGGAAGCTATACTGTGCAGCCAGCTATGGGACCATGGTCTTGACCAGGGGCTCTTCCTGGGAGTGGGGGGTTATTTTGCGCCCAGGGACATTTTGCCACGTCTGGACATTTTTGGTTGTCACAACTGTGGGAGCTACTGGCATCTAGTCGGTAGAGGCTGGGATGCTGGCCAACATCCCCCAGTGCACAGGATTTTGCATGGCAGTGATCTGGCCCGTGTTCATTGCCCAGGTTGGGAAAACTGTACCTACAGGAGCCTCAAGTCCCTTCCAGCCTAATATGGCCCCCTTGGACCTCCAGGCCCAGCCTACAGGGCCCCAGAAAAAGAAATGGGCCTTACCTCCAACAGATCAGCACTTAAAAGGGACATTTCTCAAACTGGGGCCTGAGGTCCCATCTCTAACAAGCTCTGGGTGATGCTGCTGGTCTGGAGACCACACTTGGGTTTTCAAGTCAAATTCATAAAATCTTCTTTAAGTCCAAGGTCCATGAGTTTAGTTCCTATGTTTTCTTCTATGCAATTTATTGTTTAAGGTTTTATATTCAGATCCTTAATCCTATTTTGAGTTAATTTTGGTGTGTGGTGATAGACAACAATCTAGTTTCATTCTTTGCAGGTGACTTTCCAGTTTTCCCAGCATGCATTTTTTGATAGTGCATTATCATATGTATTTGAGAACTAGTTTTTGTTTGGAATGCAAGCTATTTTCAGTAGACACCACCAACTGAAATATTATCCTGCTTGATTTATTTGACCTAATAAGTGAGTCTTAAAATATAAAATTTAACTCCAAGTTTATTATTGTTATTGAACATCAACTTGTTATTACTGTTATTAAGTATCATTTGTTTTGCTAGGCTGAGATGTGCAGTTTTTTAAAATTTTTTTAAAAAATGATAGCTTGGTGTGGGATCTCAGTATATCAGATTATGAATTGCTTAGGCAACATCTTTTCCCATGGAAACTAATAGAGTTTAAAAAGTGTTTAAAATACATCTTTTTGACTCTCTGACCTGATATTTTGAATCAGAATATCTGAACAAGCATCACAGGTGATTCTGTGACATTCTAAAGCTTGCAAAGCACTGTTCTGAAAACAATATATCTGCAACAGTCATTTTGTTTTTGCATTTATTCACATAAAATAATTCTTGAACACTCAGTATGTGAGGGGCACCATGCCAGGCACTTAGGGTCATAAGAAGACAAATAAGACAAGGTCCTTCTTTGCAG